TTTTCACTATTTTACCACTTTATTTTTTTCAAAAAGTTATTTAACATGTTTTGGATTGTTCAAGGACTTATTTGTTCCAAAAATTGTCCAATGACTTATTTAACATTTTTTGGAATGTCCAAGGACTTATTTGTTCTAAAATTGTCCAAGGATTTATTTAACATATTTTGGAATGTTCAAGGACTTATTTAACATGTTTTGGAAAGTCCAAGGACTTATTTGTTCCAAAAAAAAGTTCAAGGACTTAATCATTCCAAACAAGAAAGTTCATTGGTTTTTATTGTACTTTTCCCTATATTAAATACTATACTTAAATGAGGAAAAAAAAACCATGTGAAACAAAACCTTAAGGCATACATCCCTACAAATCTCACAAATTTTGTAGTTCTTAAATAATTAAACCCCTATAAATATAATATATAAAATATATGATCAAATCATAGATTAAGCGAAAAAGCGTAAAAAATGAAAAACTGAGTAACCCATTCTAATAACCGTTTATCTGTACAGTATATACATGTGCATAAGTAATTACTTCAGTGTGAATGTGCAAACAATTAATTAAAGATGTTTTATGATTTATATGCATGTGTATGCACATGTGCATACTGACCAAGAAACAACTTCGATTATTTTGTATGCACTTGTGCATATCGTATAAATTAATAATGATCAAGATGTTATTTTTTTTTTTAATTTTTTAAGGTTTTTCCTTAAAATCACTATATATATATACTATATTATTAGTTGTGTACCCGCGCAATACGGCGGGAGCCATGAATTTTAACGATTTTGAAGTTTCATTGGTTTTATAAGATAAGATATAACGATGATATATGTTACATTTGGTTTTTACATATTAATACAATTTGAATAAATAAGAGTTCTGGTTCCAATTACAGACTATCGATGAAAAAAAATTGTATGATAGTTTAAAATCCAACATATTTAAACGACTCCACAAATGTGTTCGATTTACACCAAGAGCAAAGAACCAAGAAACTTGAGTTTTAAGATAAAC